TCTAGTAGTCAACTCTTTACATGTAGGCTTCTCAACTCTTTCAAAGACCGCCAATTTCATTCACACCTACGGTTTGACTTTCAAGTAGTCAAACCTTTAAAGTAATCCGAAACTCCTCTAAACCTATACGTTCATTCTGTCGATTAACTACTTCTTTCTTTGTTGTAGTTATTCAATATGTCGACAGATAGAGGATGGATGTATAGAAAGAATGATGATCGAGGGGCTCTTAGCCGAACCTATGTCAGACACTTGGAAGGTTTTTTGGACATTGTCTATGCCAATGAAGAATTTGTTGAAAGGGCAACTACACGTGATGGGATAGTGTTCCATATCAGATGTCCTTGCTCCAAGTGTCGAAACGAAGCCTATAAAGAAAGAGAAGACGTGAAATTGCACTTGATGAAATATGGTTTCATGCCTGATTATACCATTTGGTGGGGACATGGTGAAACCTTTTCTTTACATGTATCTCATCAAGACGTGGGTCAATCTTCTAATCCTATAGTGGATCATAATGAAGGTTATTTTCAAATGGTGAACGRTCACATGGTACATGATGCCATGACATGGGAAGAGCAAACACCTRATCCTTCTGCCCAAGGATTTTATAATATGTTACAAACTGTTGACGARCCTTTATGGGATGGATGTAAAACTTTTTCAAAATTAGGGGCTGCGACGAGTTTGTTGCATTGGAAGGCATAATGTAATGTACCCGAGACAACATATAATAGAGTGCTTCCTGTTTTTAAGCGTATGCTACCTGAGGGTGATAAATTACCCTGTAACTTCTATGAGACGAATAAGAGTTTGAAAAATCTTGATCTACCAAAACAATAGATCGATGCTTGCAAAAACCATTGCATGTTATTTTACAAGCATGATTCTGGGTTGACCCACTGCCGAGTATGCAATGAAAGTCGTTACAAKACAAGTGGACGAAAGAAGGTCCCTAACTTGGTGTTGACGTACTTACCGATTGTTCCAAGACTCCAACGATCGTATATGTCTCCAAAGACCGCGAAAGAGATGACTTGGCATTACGATCATCGGTCGAAACTGGGTGAAATGGTACATCCAAGTGATGGTGCGGCTTGGAAGCATTTCGACATGAGGGAT